CAGCAGCGGTAGCGTGAACGCGAGCAGGGTTAGGGCTGGGCAGCGGCAACTGATATCAGTGCTTTAGTTGGTTCGATTAAACCAACTAAAGCACTAGAGATCGAACCAGACCTAAAACGCTGGTTCGGTCGCCTGGTTTAACCCAGGCGCTTGCCCGAAGCGCCCAAGCGGCGCCTCTTTGAAGCGCATCGCCTGGAAGTGAAGCGAGGCGCTCGGGCCTCGCCTCGTCTCGCCCGAGCGCCTAGGCGAGCGCCCGAGCGCCTATTGAAATCACTGATTTGAACTATGATTATAAACATATGTTGTCCTCTGCTTGAAGTCTCAATGGCGTTGTCACAGGGATTATTCTTATCACAAGAGGTTGCAAAAGGCAACACTTACTTATCAGTGTGCTTGGAGACAGAGACTTGCAAGGAAAGAGCTTAGAAAGCTAAGAATGGTCTCTTCTTATCTCTAGCTTTCTGAATAACTCCAATAAAATGAAGCCTTTGGATAACGTAGGTCTTATTTCAAATTTTTGCAGGCTGCCAGGGAAACAGGAGCCCTTAAAGAGGCCAAAGACAATCTTGAAAAGCGCGTGGAGGAACTGACATGGCGTTTGCAGCTTGAGAAAGACTAAGAGTAAATATCCTTCTTAATTGGTATTCTTTGTAGCATTTAATTGTTGGTAATATATCGATGTAGTCTTCTGTATTCTTTTCTTTAATATTCTGGGCTTGGGATGTCATGATGAGTTGCAACATATCTTGTTTCACTCCAATTTGCAGACTGATCTAGAAGAGACAAAAGCACAAGAAATTGCTAAACTGCAAGACATTTTGCATGAGATGCAACTGCAGGTAGAACAAGCAAAATCCACAGTTATTAAGGAACAGGAGGCTGCACGAAAAACTATCGAAGAAGCACTTCCGATCATAAAGGAAACCCCTGTCTTAGTTCAAGATACAGAAAAGATTGATTCACTAAATGCTGAAATTGAAAACCTTAAGGTACGACCAACAGAACAACTGATGTTAGATTTCTATTTTTATAGACAACTTAATAGTTCTGAATCATAACCATGTACACAATGTGGTAACAGGAAAACATTGAACTACAAAAATTTATAAAAAATACGCTGATTAATGAGAGATTCTATGTTATAGCAAATTACATTTGTCTTGTTAAATTAATTAATACGTTGCTCAGTCTGAATATTCAACAACTTTGTGTTTTTTCTCTTGTTGTCTTCATAGGTTTTGTTGCTAATAGAAAAGCAGGCAACAGATTCAGCCAATAAAGCATTTGCTGAAGCTCAGAACAGAAATATTGAACTGGTCAAGAAAGTTGAAGATTCTGAAATGAGAGCTGATCAATTTCAAGACACTGTTCAAAGGTTTCTGATTTCATAATTCCTATTTTGTCTAGTCCCAGTATTTAATATATCATGTTGGGCACTTGTTGATGGGAACCTTAATAAATTTAGTTTATATATGATACTGTAATAAAGCTGAAACCAAGTATTAGACACGTATCCTCCTGAAGCTTTGCTTTCAACATTACAAGGTAATATTTGTGTTTTCTCTCCAAGCACAGGCTTGAAGAGAGAGTCTCAAAACTGGAGTCAGAGAACCAAGTGCTTTGTCAACAGGCGGTTGCCATTTCACCAACTAGCAGAGCTTCATGTTCAAAAACAAGTATCTTCCAGGTCCCTATCTCATTTAATTCTTTTTCGACATTTAGCCAACTAGCACATTACTACCAGGCTTTTTTGTGTGTATGTTAGATTTCTTATTGTTGTTATTATATTGTGATGCTTTGGCCACAGAGAAGCACAGAAAATGAGAATATCCTGAATGGTGAATCGAAACTTGCTTTGGTAAGCATGATAATTTCAATTCTGATAAGCATTTGGCTTCCGCAGATATCAAGTCATTTACCCAAAAGACAAGTGAATTAACCTTGGACGATTTTTATACACTAAAACCTGTAGGACTTGAGTCCTGGTTCACCTAATTCCAGAGAACTTCAAAATGATGATAAACCACAGAAGTCACTCAATGAGAAGCAGCAGGTATGGCAATATTTAATTTTATAATAAATGCCATTCTATATTGTGGCTTTAAATGTGTGCATCGTATTGATACTAAAATTTATTATGTGTTGTTGTCCTTAATGCTGTATTTCCCTGATAAGCTATGTATTTTCCCTCACAATGTTATTTCTCCAGGAAAATCAGGACTTACTTATTGAGTGTATCTCTAAAGACTTGGGATTCTCTGGGGGTAGGCCTATTGCTGCTTGTGTCATATACAGATGCCTTCTTCATTGGAGATCCTTTGAAGCTGAAAGGACTACTATTTTTGACTGTATAATCCAAACAATAGGCTCAGCTATAGAGGTATGAAAAACTTTGTCATTGTTGCTGGTGGTTTAATTGTCTTTCTTCATTAATATTGTGGATCGTGAACCAAATCCATTTTCAAATTTGTATCAGACGTGTGACAACATACAACATCGATACTATTTTCTTTATACATAATCCTCACTAGTACTACTATATGATCTTATTCATAGATTTAAACCAGTTCTTGGTTTACTAATTTTGCAATTTGTACCTCTGAAGGCCCAGGATAACATTGATGTTTTATCCCACTGGTTGTCCAATTCATCTACTCTATTGTTGCTCCTCCAACGAACATTAAAAGCAAGTGGAGCAGCAAGTTTGACTCCACAGAGGCGTAGAACGTGAGCTTTATTTGGGAGGATGTCTCAAGAAAGATGATGAAACCTTTGGTTTCCCAGAAGATCATGATGCTTTAAGTGTTGATATGGCTTCATCCTGATTTCCTTGTTTAACTCAATTTATGTTAACTTTTCTTGCATCTTAAGGGAATTCGAGCCTCTCCTCAGAGTGCTGGCCTCTTTTCGTTTAGTGGTCGCATGATGGGTGGATTGAGTGATTTGCGTCAAGTTGAAGCTAAATATCCTGCTCTACTTTTCAAGCAGCAGCTTACTGCTTTCCTTGAGAAAATTTTCCCAATAGTTTTATGGAATGATTGGAGACAATCTAAAGAAAGTATTATCTTCACTGCTTGCCTCATGTATCCAGGTAATAAAAACTTTCCCAATAGTTTTGCTTGAAATTTTTTTAATATTGTTAACTGTGCAGGCACCAAGAACATCTCGTGCAAGCTTAATTAGAGGCTCACGATCTCAAGCAAATGCTATGGCCCAGCAGGCACTGATCGCGCATTGGCAAAGCATAGTGAAAAGCTTAACCAACTATTTGAAAATCCTGAGAGCCAATCATGTAAGTTCTGAGTAGCAGTGCTTTGATTTTTGATATATGTTCGATAAACTTTAGCTTTCCACCTTTCAGGTCCCTCCATTTTTGGTTCACAAGGTGTTCACCGAAATTTTCTCATTTATAAATGTACAACTGTTCAACAGGTACATATTAAGTGTGATTACATTTCTTTCACTTTTTTAGCCATGTGATTTTTTTCATATTTTCTCATTATAAAGGATAATCTTTTTCTCTGTTATATAGCCTTCTGCTGAGGCGCGAGTGTTGTTCATTTAGCAATGGGGAATATCTCAAAGCAGGGCTGACTGAGTTAGAACACTGGTGCTATGATGCAACTGAAGAGGTGATCTCCTATGATTTCACACAAACTTTGTGAAAGTTCTAAACTAAAATATCATTTGGTCGCAGTATGCAGGTTCCACATGGGGTGAATTGAAGCATATTAGGCAGGCTGTTGGTTTCCTGGTATGTTTTTTTATGAAGAGCACATTGGTTTATTTATTTTATTTTTGATTTTCTAGTAACCTTATACAATGTGTCCACTGATCCCGGTTATACATCAGAAACCAAGACCTTGAAGGAGATAACCAATGATCTATGTCCAGTTTGGGCCACTCCTTTGACCTGTTATTATGTCCAAAGCATTGTAATTTAGTTATTGTTCCCATTTTGAATTATTATCTGATTCTGTTTTCAGGTGCTCAGCATACAACAGTTATACAGAATAAGTACAATGTATTGGGATGACAAATATGGAACACAGCGTATCATCCGAGGTTAGTTTGAACTCAGCTGATTGATGTGCTCCTTTTAAATATAGTTTGCTTATTTAGGAAGGTTAGCATTCTGTATTTGTTACCTCCACATAGGAGCTGAATTTCTGTTTTTGAACATTTATTCCCACCCCCCACTTTTTAGGTCATTTCAAGTATGAGAGTTATGATGACTGAGGATGCAAATAGTGCAGTCGGCAGTTCTTTCTTGTTGGATGATGATTCGAGGTGATTCTGCTATTAAAAAAACAAAGGAAGAAGATCTAAACTCCTCGTTGAAAATAGAAAAATCTAAGCTTGATCAATCTTTCATGCAGCATACCATTCTCCGTGGACGATATCTCAAAGTCGATGACTGAGATAGAGGTAGCAGATGTTGATCCACCACCTCTAATTCGTCAGAACTCGGGCTTTGTTTTTTTGCTACAGAGGAAGGAATCGTAGACTTCATCTTCAAGTTTCCTATTCATGCCCAAGAGGTGCATATTCGTCTTGTAGATATGATGTTATTCTATTCATGCCGAATTAGCATAACCAGGGGTAGATTATGATTTTAGTAATCGGGTTTGATTTGTTGATTTAATTTCATGATTCTTTTGATGAGTTGTATTTATTGGCAATAAGCCCCTGTTCTGACTCTGGGCTGCTCGGTGTCTACCGTCAAGAAGTGAGAGGATTCTCTTCTCTACTTCAACAAGCATTTAGAAGTTGAACGATTGGCAATAAGGTTAACGTTTGTTTTATGCTGAACGATTTTTGATGTAGTATATAATTTGTCTTGGTTTTTCCAACAAATTTATACTTGCTACTTGTGATATATGATTTAGTAAAGTGAGATAATAAAGGATCTGGTTTCGAAGATCGTCCATTGATCTTTATTTTCTTATTTCTTCCATTTATCAAAATCCGGATGGAACATAAAATCACAAGATTTCAAAATACTTTTTTAAATCTGAACTAATTTGAGCTAATTGAAACAGGATGAAGCAAGTAGAGTGAATAAAATTTTCCTGTCAGGGAGAAGCTTTTACGCTCCCCGCAGGCGACGGCGGAATCGCCTGAACCCGGTCTTCGTTGGACTGCCTGGTGGCCACACTCGATTCGCCTCCTTGTAGTTTCCGCCGCTCCTTGTCTCGTCTGGAGTTCTGCTTCTCGAGCTTCCAATTTGCATGGCATCGGGCGATGAAGAGGTCCGCCTTGTTGTTGACGTCTGGGCTCGGGCAGAAAACTGCCACCCCCACCCCCACCCCCACCTCTGTTTCTCTTGCCTTCGTCTCTCCCTCATGGTCCTTGCTGCTGTGCCTCCTCACCATCTCATCCGACGGAGGCGGCGGTATCTTGGGGGATAAGGGCGGGAGAGGGTGCTTAGAAAGCTGGGATTTTTGTGGCCGTGGTGGCAGGGAGGACAAACGCGGGAAGGGCACCTTGTTATGGTCGGTCTTTTCTTTCCCCTCGCTCTGTGATGGAGCAGAGGGCGGTGGGTGTAAGACTTGCTCCCTGGACTGACGGATTAGCATCGGAGGTGGTGGAGGAGCTGCTGAGAACGAGTTGATCTGGCACTTCTTGCTTTCCCCTTTCTTGTGAGAGAATACATGGTGGAAGAGCGGGGGAGGTGCTGGCGGTGGAGAATGGGAAGAAGCGGAGACCTCGTAGTGAAGCGATATATCATCGGGAGATCTCATCGCCTTGATTCCTTTCTTCTGCTGATCAAACAAAGTGATAGCTGCGGCAGCGGAGTCCTTCGCTCCACCGCCGCTCCGCTTTTCATGCCTCCTCTTCTCCTCCTCCTGTGGCAGCGGCGGCGGTGGCGGCAGAAGATGAGGCGGTGGCGACGCCGGCGGCGACTTATGAGGCTTTTCGAGTCCCAAAAGGTTATGATCTTGCTTCACCTCCCATTTTAGAGTATTCCCGACGCTTCTCCTCCTCCGACGCCGTGATCTCGCCGGCGCTTGGGGCGACAGCGGGTGCCTCTCGATCTCAAGGTTTATGCTTTGTTCCGCTTCCCTCTCAGGAAGCTTCTCTAAGTTCCTCCTCCTCGGCTGTCGCTGTCTGCAAGGCGGCGGTGGATGGGGCTTCTCCGATCCAAATATCTCATCTTTGTCCACCTTCCTCTCTTCCGGGAACTTCTCCACGCTCCTCCTCCTCCTGGACTGGCGCTTCCTTGGTGGCGACGGCAACTGGGGCTTCTCCGATCCAAAAATCTCATCTTTGTCCACCTCTCTCCCTTCTGGAAACTCCTCGACGCTCCTCCTCCTTGACTGGCGCTGCGGTGGTGGCGACGGTGGATGGGGCATCTGCAATCCAAAAATGCCATCTTCGTCCACCTCTCTCCCGGGGAGCTTGTATACCGATCTCCTCAGCTGCCGCTGCGGCGGTGGCGACGGCGGGCTCGGCGAAGATCTAGATATCGGAGAAGGGCTCCGCCGCAGAACTAAGGTGTCCACCGGAATCGTCTTCGACTTAATATCCCCAAAATTCTGCCGCTGCCAACCCCTGGATTCCGGCCCCCGGCGATAATGCTGTATATCATCGTAGCAACGCCACCCGTCGGCGTCGGCTGCTGCAGCGGCACCGCTGCCCAATGACATCACATCCGGCCTCAGATCCGGGTAGTAGCTGCTGCTCCGCATCCGATTAAAGCCCGCCGTTGGACTGGTCTGCAGGGGGCGGGAGTACCTAACCTGGGCGGTGGGACTGGTGAACCTGAGCCAGTCGTCGAGGGCCTGCCGAGGGGACCTCTCGGGACCGTCGCCGCCAGAGCGGCGGCCGAGGACGCCACAGAGAACGAACAAGAGCACGAGAAGGAAGATGAGGGCATCCCATCCCTTCCTCGTCACAATAGGACGGGAGATACGGGAAGAGGAAGAGAGCCAGGGAGGAAAGAAGAGTAGAATAAGAACGGAGAACAACAGCATTAAAACCCATGGCTTAATTCCACCACCGCCACCAGCGGTAGCAGCAGAATAAGGCGGTTCCCCTTCTCTGTTCATTTCGAATACGAGCTTCCGGTGGCACGGCGAGAGGTGGCGTTGAGTGGCGGTGGAATGTGCGTGGTTTCTTTATCTATCTTTAAAGCGAGTTCGCAAAAGGACACCATCAATTAAAATCTCAGCAGGGGAGACTGGGAATAGGATCCAAGTCAATGTGGACGAAGAACGATGCCGTATCATGCTTGGTAACATGATTCCCATAGCTTGGTGGATGAAAGAACGATGCCGTATCATGCTTGTTAACATTGTCCCGAAGCAAGTCAGAGTCAAGTGGATGAAGAGTGATACTATATCATGCTTGTTAACATGATTGGCGTAGATTCATTTAACACAAGTAAAGAAGAAACCATAGAAAAGAGAATCTTTTAATCACAAAAAGTTTTTTACACAGCTGATAAAGATCAGAACCGTTGATAGCAAATTTGGACACACTCGACGCACCCTTTGGGGTGGCGACAAGGAAATATGGACCATCCATCACAGGCACCTCCTCTGATAAATCACTATGTGATCTCATCTTAGTTGTCGAGTCCATCCTTCCCGGTTGTCCAATATAAATGTCGTACCCTTAAGTTCGCGCTCAAATCACACCATTCTTCTCCTCTTTCTTTTGGGCCAGGAGAGATGAGGCTCTCGAAATCAAGAAATCAACGACGCGATACGGGAAGGCGTGATCCATTCTTATCGGCAATGCCACACGTAACGCTCTACATGTGACCTCGACTTGATTGGGAACGAGGCGGATCTTATCCACGCCTTTGTCGGCTTCGACCCTATATCTCGTGCTCGAGTTTATCGCGATCGTACCTCTGGCACCTCTCATCGCTATGCTTACATCAACTTCCACGCCTCTGTCGTTGATACTACTAACCCTAATTGACCCTCTCGTTCAGGCTTCTTTGATCGATCTTTGATGCTTTCCTTGAAACCCTTTTTTGGATATGTTTTTGAAGTTAGAGATTGCCCTCAAGACGATGAATCATGCCTCGTTAAAGGAAAAAATCGATGTGGATTAGATTACAAATCAAAAGCATTAATATCTAGAAAATCTTTTAATGATTGTAATCAAGAAATCATAGAAGAGTATCGAATAGAAGAGATATTAGAAAATCTAAAAACTCATGCTATTAAATTTTGACCCTGAATCTCTCACCCTTGAAAATATTTTTTTCAAATTATATTTATAAATTATCTAGGCTTTCTATGGAAGTAAGCACATAGGGCTCTTTTTTTATTTAAAATAAATTTTCAAAAGGTAAGATCGATACCACATCATTCATTAAATATTTTATAATATTTTTTTATTATTCAAAATTATATTGATAATATCAATTTTGGTACAAATTTATATTAAATCTTTATCTAAATTATTTATTAAGAGTATCAACTAATAATTTGAAATGATAAAAATAATAGAGAATGCTTTGATAAAAAAATGTATAGAGGCAATATACTATATCTCACTACAACTAGATATAATATTTAGTGTTGGACTTTGTGTAAGATTTCAATCTAATCCCAAACAATCTTACTTTAAAATAATAAAAATAAAGTAGACACTTAAAAGTAATATTTGTTGAATCTTGAATTTTGATGATGAAACCAATTGATAAGTGTTATGATTTGATCTGTGTTTTAAGTGACGTAGGATGCTTCGATCAAGGAGAGACATTTAAAGCAGGAAGAATCATGTTGGGTCGAAAAACATGTCAGAAGATTGGACGTCGGACCGGAGGATCGGTCGACGTATCGACAGAAGGCTTCGGGCCATGGATTCGGGCATCGGGCCAAGAAGAGCGGATATTGAGCTAAGGATATTGGAGTTGCGGAGGTCAACTGGCTGATTGGGCAATAGACCGCAAGAGAGGACGAAGTGTTGAAGAATCAGACGAAGCGTCGATGGACCAATGACATGCCAGATGACATTATTCATGATTAACTATGATAGCAAGGCATAAAACAAAATGAAGTCTCGAAGTCAAGGACACGATTTCGTTAGGAGTTCGAGAGTTCGTCGAAAGTCCGGACGTTCGTTAGAAGTTCTGTCGGAACCAACCGAGAAGTCCAGGAGCTTGCCAAAGAAGCTCGTTGGAACTCGCTAGGAAGGTCGTTGTGAAGTCCAGGAGCTTGTCGGGAGTCCACCGGAACATTACTAAGAGTTCGTCGGAAGATTGTCGGAAGCTTGCCGGAAGAAACTGGATTTATTTTACTTAGAATATGTCTTAGGAATCGTAATTAGCACATAATAGGAGTTGGGATTAGGAGGTAATCCCATCAACTCTGTTAGGGGCCAACTGAGCCCGAAGTTGGGCTGGTTTGGGTCGAATTCAAGGCCCAACCAGGATGCTGAAAGCTTGGCTGGCGGTGGCACCGCTTGGGAGACTCAGTCTCCTAGGTGGTCTGAGCGGTGGTACCGCATAAATTGGGTAGTGGTATTGTCGGCAGTAAATGCTACCAGTGGTGGTATCGCCCTTATTAGGCGGTGGTACCACCAGAGTGTTGAATCTTGTATTTTGATGATGAAACTAATTAATAATTATATTTATATTTTAATCTATGTTTTGAGTGACACATGATGCTTCAATCAGGATGAGACAATTAAAGTAGGAAAAATCATGTTGGGCCGGAGGAACATGTTAGAAGATTGGACGTCGGGCCGGTGGATCGGTCAACGCATCGATAGAAGGATTCGAGCATCAAGCCAAGAAGAGCGGACATTGCGCCAAGGATATCGGAGTTGCAGAGTCAACTGGCCGATTG